CAACTGCTCTTACTACATACACTTCTTTTACTAGCAATTTATACACTTACTAATACGCTATTCTTGTATAGCACCTACCTCAATAAGGAATAACTCGTCAGGTAAATGCGAACGTGCCTAATTTAGGATAAGAGGTCAAATACGTAATCGAGGAGCACTGCAGAGGCTACTTGTTACATTAAGTTTTTGGTAACTGGAATGTTGGAGTTATTGTTTATGCTAAAATAATGATTCCCTCGGTTATGTTCAATAATAGTACTTGGCTCGTGTAACACCTGCATTGTTACATTACTTTTCTTAGTAATATGTGTAATTTTGTCCTGCAAAGAGATGGGACTGTAGCTATGGTGTACTATGGTGTCTATGGTGACTATGGTGTACTATGGTGTAATATGGTGTACTATGGTGTACTATTACCTGGAGTTACCTGAAGAGTTCCGGGGTCAACGCCCTCCGCGGCACTTTGTACCAGACCTCCTGTGGATCAGAGCTGATCACAGGCTGTTGCTGCTGGCTGCACGCAACCACGTACGAGCCAGCCGGCTGATCAGGAACTGACTTTAGGTGCTTGTCCAGTGCCACTTGAAGCTGCCAGGGGTCTGTGGTATCCCCTTAGGTGTAGCTGAGGCAGTTGAACGTCTCGGGCCTGACACTATTGTGTGGTCTCTTACGTGCTAGTGACACCCCTGCACTTTCATTGGGAGGGATGGTGCATGTCTTGCCAAGTCGTTTTGCTTTCGTAGTGAGTGATTTTCGTGTGCAGTCAGGTCTATGTCCTCTAGGATTTTCCAGGTGTATATATCAATGTATCTCCCCTCATGCGTTCCAGGATAAGGTTAGGAACCTCAGCGCTCCCAATAACTGAGTGTTTTATCTCCGTTATGGCGTCAGTGAAAGTTTCGTACATGTTTGCTAGGTCGTGCATATTTCACCTGCCTGAAAGTGTAGTTATGTGTGCACAATATTTCCAGCCTGATAGAACATAGTGACCTAAGAGTGTCATCATGGGCTTGGCCTCCCTAGTTTTGAAGGTTCTCATGTATCCATCCTGTATTTTCTAGCAGATGCGATGATACAGTTATGGTCCTTGATGGTGACATCCTCCGACTGATCACTCCAGGTCTTTGACGTTGGTGTTTCGCTCTATTTGTGGCCAGAATTTGTTTTGTACTCTATGAGATGTAATTTCCTCATGGTTTACTATCTGAGTAATTGAAATTCTCATCGTGAACTTCATTGTTTTTCTGTGCCCACTGAAAGATTTGGTTGATGTCCGCCTGGAGCTTTGCAGTGTCTGCAATGGAAGACACTGTCATGGTGTACTATGGTGCACTATGGTGTACTATGGTGTACTATGGTGTACTATGGTGCACTATGGTGTCACTATGGTGTACTATGGTGTACTATGGTTGTACTATGGTGTACTATGGTGTACTATGGATGCACTATGGTGTACTATGGTGCCTATGGTGTACTATGGTGCACTATGGTGCACTATGGTGTACTTGGTGACTATGGTGTACATGGTGTGCACTATGGTGCACTATGGTGCACTATGGTTGTACTATGGTGTACTATGGTTGTACTATGGTGCACTATGGTGCACTATGGTGCACTATGGTGTACTATGGTGTACTATGGTGCACTATGGTGTACTATGGTGTACTATGGTGTACTATGGTGTACTATGGTGCACTATGGTGTACTATGGTGCACTATGGTGCACTATGGTGTACTATGGTGCACTATGGTGTTTATGGTGCACATGGTGCACTATGTGCACTATGGTGTACTATGGTGCCTATGGTGCACTACTGCTTTACTATGGTGTACTATGGTGTACTATGGTGTACTATGGTGACTATGGTGCACTATGGTGCACTAGGTGCCTATGGGTGTTACTATGGTGTACTATGGTGCACTATGGTGTACTATGGTGCACTATGGGTGACTATGGTGTACTATGGTGCTCTATGGTGTACTATGGTGCACTTGGTGTACTATGGTGCACTATGGTGTCTATGGTTGTACTATGGGTTAGGTGTCTATGGTGTACTATGGTGTACTATGGTGTACTATGGTGTACTAGGTGCACTATGCACTATGGTGTACTATGGTGTACTATGGGCCTATGGTGTATTGGTGTACTATGGTGGTACTATGGTGCACTGGTGCACTATGGTTTGCACTATGGTGTATATGGTGTACTATGGTGTCTATGGTGTACATGGTTACTATGGTGCACTGGTGTGCTATGGTGTGATATGGTGTGCATGGGTACTACGGTGCCATGGTGTACTATGTTGCTATGGTGTCTATGGTGTACTATGGTGTATATGTGACTATGGTGCCTATGGTGTACTATGGTGTATATGGTGTACTATGGTGTACTATGTGTGTACTTGTGCACTATGGTGTACTATGGGTGCACTATGGTGTGCTATGTGTGTACTATGGTGTACTATGGTGTACTATGTGTACTTGGTTACTATGGTGTACTATGGTGTGCTATGGTTTGTACTATGGTGTACTATGGTGTACGTGGTGTGCATGGTGTACTATGGTGTACTTGGTTGTACTTGGGTACTATGGTGTACTATGATGTACTTGGTGTACTATGATGTACATGGTGCACTATGGTGCCTATGGTGTACTATGGTGTACTATGGTGTACTATGATGTACTATGGTGACTATGGTGTACTATGGTGTTCTATGGTGCTATGGTTGTACTATGGTGTACTGTGGTGTGCTATGGTGTACTATGGTGTACTATGGTGTACTATGGTGTACTATGGTGTACTATGATGTACTATGGTGCACTATGGTGTACTATGGTGTACTATGGTGTACTATGATGTACTATGGTGTGCTATGGTGCACTATGGTGTGCTATGGTGTGCTATGGTGTACTATGGTGTACTGTGGTGTGCTATGGTGTACTATGGTGTGCTATGGTGTACTATGGTGTACTATGGTGTACTATAGTGTGCTATGGTGTACTATGGTGTACTATGGTGTACTATGGTGTTCTATGGTGTACTATGGTGTACTATGGTGTGCTATGGTGCACTATGGTGTGCTATGGTGTACTATGGTGTACTATGGTGTGCTATGGTGTACTATGGTGTACTATGGTGCACTGTGGTGTACTATGGTGTACTATTGTGCACTATGGTGTTCTATGGCGTGCTATGGTGTACTATGGTATACTATGGTGTACTATGGTGTACTATGGTGTACTATGGTGCACTATAGTGTACTATGGTGTACTATGGTGTACTATGGTATACTATGCATAACCATAACCAGGAAGTTGTGTATTTAGATCTCCAGCTGAGATCCTCTTCAGCAGATACGTGAGAAAGAGAAGACTGAAGACTATTTAGTGTATGAACTAGTGAGTGGTCACAAAGATTCTTGGCTATCATTACGTCAATGAATGGAAGATTCAAACTGTGAGGGGGATGATGTGTCTATCTTGGATAATTATGGATTATCCACGAACTCAGGGCAGAGATGCCTCTTGGGATGTGTGGCGTTAGAAATGCCTAGTTCGCTAGAATTAGAGTTTTGATATAAATTCAGATGTACTCCTTGTAACTTTTTTGGGCCTAGTTCCTAGGCTTTTCGTGTATCCATATGTTCTTGCGCTACCGTCGACAGGATGGATATGGGGTGCACAATAAACTAGCCACTTCGGTGGCAAAATCTAACATTAAGTTCAGCGCAGGAATGTTTTTTTTTTTTCGATTTTGCAATCGCGTCTGGTTTCCATTTTCATTTCGATGTCTTGAAATGTAGCTAACACACTACCTTAACAAGTTTCTGTTTATAAGTCTTCTGCTTTGCAAATGATATTGGCTTTTATCCAGCAAATGGCGTAACTTATGATTACCACAAGATGGAAAAGCCCTGAACTCTTTTCCATATAATGAACCATTTATATTTTACTATTAATATGACTAGGCTGCTGCCTGTCTTGTCTCTGCGTACAAACTCTCGTGTCTCATTTGATACAGGTTTCTTGCGGTACTTCGAGAAACATCAGTCAATTTTATTATCAAGGGAAATTTAATAAAGAGAAATACAGTGACTATCCCTTTCCTCAGGAGCTGTGAGAATATTTTTCTTACCCTTCAAGGTTACACATATCTTATAAAAGAACGATTCAATACAGAAAGTTAAAGAGATGTAAGAGAGCTCACCTGAGCAAAATTAATAATACTCTTTCATCAAGGTTATTTTCTGTAAAAAAAAAAAAAAGGTAAAATATAACTGAATTTTCATTGTTTTGTCTCCATATTATAAAATTAGTATTTGTTAGACAGTATATATTGAAAACCCTCACTGATCTCCTCACAGATGAACCGACATTTACGAAATTTCAGGTTCAGGTGCTCGTTAGTCTTCTCGGGGTAGTTGTGCAGAGCTATTCTGAACGCCTGTATTTTGTGCAAGGAATGAGAAAGGGAAGGGAAGGTCAACTAGCCTATAAACATGTTTGGCTGTGATTTGGTCCTAATCACAATAATTAGAGTTCATGACTTGAACAGTGTTTATAATTAGCACCAGTTATATCGAGTCCTTTGATAAAGTTGCCCCTTGAGTTGAATCCTCAGATAATTGAACTTAGTCAAACCATCTACGTCCGCCCGACTGTTAATAAGAAACCGGAAACTACCTATGAACTTTTCAAAACCTTGACCATAACGTATTATTATTTGGGTAGGAGTACTAACAGTTGAGTGATCGGGGCGTGGTTTAATGGTCCATCAGGTAGTGCCTGACTGCACCAGCCTGCCCCGAGTATGTGCTAACACACGTATATACTCTACATATTGTCTGCTATTAAATGTATGTACATACTCAAATATTTATACATATGTACGAGCAATATATACGTACATATGCAAGCACACCTGCATCTTTTATGCAGGAGCAATACAACATGTATATTAATAAACAATATGCATTATAGGATAATATCAGACCAACATGTTACTTAACAACTTATTTATTTTTGAGGTTCATGGATTATAATGATACATAAAGTCGAAATTCACCATGAAAATCTCAAAGGTCCTGCATCTCAGCCGTAAAAGCCGCCGCCGATGCCGTTGCCAAAGCCAAGTCCCAGGCCCCCTAGACCGTAGCCGCCCCGACCAATGCCTCCTAAACCGTAACCGCCACGACCGAGTCCTCCGAGACCATATCCCCCGCCTCCGAGACCATATCCCCCGCCTCCGAGACCATATCCCCCGCCTCCGAGACCTAGGCCTCTGAGACCGTAAGCTAAGCCTCCAAGTCCACCAGGACCTAATCCACCAAGACCGAGACCTCCGAGACCTCCGAGACCTCCAAGGCCTCCAAGGCCTCCAAGTCCGAGTCCTGGGCTCGGACTCGGATCAGGATTTGCGAGAGGTTGAGGCGTTGCTGCTGCAAGACCCACCAGCAGGACAAGAATCTGAGGATACAGAGAAAATTTAGTTATTAATTTAACTCAAGTGTGACATAAAGCTAGTTCCCATTTTTAAGTGTTCTCGACTTTATAAATATTGAAAACAGTTATTTTATACTGTTTTGTTCTCATATTAGGAATGCAAAAAAAAAAAAGTTACTATTGATAATAATTAAGCAAAGAAAATTTTACAAATGTTTAAATATAAATAATCTTGTCATTACGATTTCGTGAGTCATCATTAACCTCCGTTACATTCTACACATTCACAGAATAAATCTTGCAACTTACAGCCTTCTCCTCCGCCAATATTTACTTTTAAGCTTCGATTACCTACATAATGCAACAATATTCCCTTCTCTTGAAAACTGCATGTTTAAAAACTCATATTTTCTGCAGAATATTAATTCTGTTATATTTCCCTGTCATTATCTTTATGCTAATTAATGCTGTTTTCATCAGAAAATGAAAACAGAAATTCTTAGCCTCTCAATTGACAGTACAAATCGTGTTACTGAAACTCACCAGTAACTTCATTTCTGCTAAGTATTTCGTCTATGCTGAGGAAAGCGTGTGTGAGACAGAACTGCTTGACTGTGTGTGTGGATGGCCGATTGTTCCTTATATACTCGACCATCCTAGATCAGAGGAAGTTGTAATGTGACCTCGACAAGCGGATGTCTCAGTGATGTGACCAAACCGGTGAAGGTCGATGGAACAATGAATTTATTAACTTACAAGTTATATTACATGAAAATTATTTGCTTCGTCAGTGGAGGTGCTGCATTATCAGTCATGTTTTCCTCTTATTGCTGCTCTAGAAATTTAGAGAATCATCAAAAACATAATACTGCTCTAGGAACCAATACTGCTGCTCTACCACCTACTGCGCTGCTATAGTAACCTATACTAGTCTGCTCTAGCAATTTATACCTATATACCTATGCTCTGACAACCCATAAGGCTGCCAAAGTGGCGGAAGCTGCTCCTAATGTAACCTATGCAGCTGTTCTAATAACTATATTGTAATTTAGCACCTGCTGAAGGCTATGATAATACAATGATATCTCGCATATCCGGCCTGTCATTATCCGAACCTCTCCAATATCCGAACAGGCCATGGGAAAAGGCAAAATTCTAAAATTATTACCAAAATATCTGAACAGCTGTTCGGATGAATGAATTAAACTTGGCGCGCACTTTAGAGTACCGGTTTGCCACTAGGAGCCGCGCCCTTCGCCTTCCTTGTAGCATTATCACAGCTGTGTTTTGTCTTAGCTATCTTGTGTATGGCACCAAAGAGGACTAGGAATGTGCTTACTCTAGAAAAAAGAGGGAAATATTGTCGCTCGTGGATGCAGGTTGGTCCAAGGCTGGGGAAAAAACTACAGAAGACGATGTGCAGGTCTGGTTAGAGTGTGACTAAGACGATCCTGGTGTGCAGTCTCTGACGGATGCAGAGATTGCAGAATCAGTGTTGCACCCGGAACATTTTCGAGAGTGACGACGACGACGACGACGACGACGACGACGACGACGACGACGACGACGACGACGACGACGACGACGACTCAATGCCTCCAGGACCAAAAACTTCAGCAGCAAGGGCAGGTGTCGGAAAACTTTTGGAGTATCTGGAGCATCCACTGTCCACATCCCATTTGAAAAGTTATGGTCTAAGGGTCCGTAAAATCCAGGAGGCTGTTATTCGAACCCAGAGTGTCTGGTCCCACCTCCAGACGACGATAGACTCTTTTTTTAAACCTACAATGCTGTCGCCGATGGCGATTGGACGGTACGGATACGCATTTTTTCCCCCCTCACGTATCCGGAAACTCTGTGTTTCCGAACCTGTCTCGGCTCATATGGTTCGGATATGAGAGGTAACACTGAATAAACAACTTTTATATCAACTTATGCTTCTGTTATATTTGCCTGTTCTGATCAATATTGATATAACGTCATCACAGTGGCTAAAATAAAACCTTAAGCAGTCTAGAAGGTACTTCATTCGTCAGGAAACATGAGAAGTCATGTCATGACGAGATAGCTTCAGCCTATCACCGGCTTACCCATCAACCACCTAAAAAATTGAAGAACACACACACTAGCAACAATTTTCAACAAATCTATTGAAACAGGGCAACTAATGGAGTCCCAGTATGACTCAGCGTTTAGTGAACCGCTAACCAGACTAAAAGTTGATAATCTAAATGAATTTTTTATGACCGACACTCAAATGTTTGGTTAATTCAAAAATTTCTGATATTATCCTAACACCAGGCCCAGATTCATGGAACTCCGTGGAAGTGGAACAATCTGGAGAGTGAAGCAGTGGAGGCAGGATCCATACATAACTTTAACAATAGGTACGATAAAACTCTTGGAGCAGGGAAAGAGTGGACCTAGTATCGATTAGCGAAGAGGTGGGTCAGGAGCTATGCATCTAACCTTGCAGCCACGTATAGGTGAGTACATATAGGCAAGTACACACACACATGCACATAAGCATGCATGTGGGGAGGTTTTTGACACAGTACTGCACAGGGAACTGACACGAAAGCTAAAGGAAGAGGCAGGAATAAGAGGAAAAGCACTACAATGGATGTAGGCATACCTGACAGGAAGGAAACAGTGATTTATGGTCAGTAAAAAGGTGTCTGAATGGGCGTATATGGTGAGTAGGATTCTGCAACGATCCGTATTAAATCCGGTATTATTTCTCGTGTACGTGAATGATATGACGGAAAGGATAGAGTCAGAGATATTCCTGTTAGCAGATGATATGAAGGTAATGAGGAGAATGCAAGCAAACCTGGAGCAGGAAAGACTACAACTGGGTGTGGAGAGACTGCTGGTCTGGTTGACAAATGGTACAAAAATTCTCCAAAAATATTGTAATCAGTATTTCCCTCCCGGCCACGGATTTGCTGACGTATACACTGAAAAATACTTTTAAACAAACGTTTGACAGCATATTATTAGTTTTGAAATGAGATCAAAATGGTCATCCTAAGCTGGCATACAGTGGAGTAAGACTTAATAATGTGCTAATTTCTGACCATCCCAGCTTAGTTAGTGGGCGGTACTTTAATATTTCGTCTGAGTCACGACTCACGTTTATTCTATGCATTCACGCCCACTGTAAATGTCCTGCACTCACTAAATATAAGGAGGACATCATGGCTCATCAAAGTTATCTCACTGACTTAAAAATCATTCTGATCTGCTGGAGAATTTGTTGTAGAAAGACTAAAATCTGATATATGCTCTGTTGAAACACACCAAGCAGAAAGGCAAATGGCACAAGAATGGCAGGCAGAACTTTCGCAAAGACAGGTCGATGTATCTTCTGTCATAGAGTTGAAGTATAGGAACAACAGCAGCAAGTATGTCGTGATCAACCGGGATGTCAGGAGCTGCAGCTCTGAACGTTTGAACATCTATAGACAATAATCAATCATAGGTGGCACTAGATCATTATGAGGAACAAGAGTGCGTTTAAAAGTTGACCCAATGGTGAAAGTGGTCTAACTTCATGCAAAAATAAGTACCTCGGGGAAAAGCCCATGGAGATCCATACTTTCTTTGTAGATTCGCTGGTATGATCACCTGGCCCAGGCCTTTTCCAAGAGGTGGCCTGGCCTTGGTTTCCTGTCGAGGAAGTGTCTCAGACCAATGTCTGCCATGGGAGGAGGCACAAGTACCTCCTGGTCTTCTGGGACCAGCTGTCCCCAGGCCTAGCCCCATTCACTGCCCCCATGGGGCTCGGAGGGAGAAGCTAGGGACCTTGGGCTGCCACAAACCCCGCCCACACTGGGCTCGAAGGGTGTGGCAGCTGCATAACAGCAGACGATGTCAGGAGGTGCAAAGGGAGCAAGCACTACAGGATCCTTTTGGAGCCACACCCCAGCTTTGGGCATTAAGCCCGAGTGCTGAGGAAGCTCAAGAATGCCTCTTGCTGTGTGAGTTGCTGCTGCTACTACTTCACTTGTCCGTAGCACTCTGTGGAGACCCAGCGCTGTCCAGGTGATCAGGTGATCTATATATCTTCAATGCTGATGGGAAGACAGTCCAGCACTGGGGACCAGGCCAAGACATGGATGGAGAATTCCTCATGCTTTAAGGAGAGGTCATTCTTACATTTTGATGTGGACCTTCAGTTCCAATGCTGTAATCTTTCTTACCTATCATTTTCTTATCTTTGAAGGCACATCTGTTATCAACTGTGAAGTTCTTGTCTGCTACGGCACCGGGAGACATCAAGGCACCATGAAAATCAGTGTTATTACTGAAACTTTAGGTAGTAAACTATGCGGTACTTTTCCTCTTTTTGCTACAGTAGCTGACTGTGATTAACGTTCAGGTCTGAGTGGCGTTCAAACCGCATTTGTTTCAAAGCCTATGTAGAAGTGTCCTGATGATGTCATTGAGATAATGAGTTCCTTCCAGCCTTTTAATGGACTAAAGTAAAGATGGAAAGTCAGCCGTTCAGTTTCTGAGCATTTCAATATTCAGGTGTATGAAGGAAGTACGAGTTAGGTGAACTATCTCAGGCAGCAGTTATTCTCCCAGCAAAATCAGAATGTAGAAATGATTCCACAGATACGGATGTTGTGTACTACTGCTGTCAAAGGGTTCTCTACCAGGCCAGCTTTTGGGTATCAACCCATGATCCAACATTTCGAAAACCAAATCCCTGCCTGATTGGTGGGAAAAGAGTGGACTACAGACCCACAAATTGCAGCGGTGTGCCAAGAACTGTAAAGCGTGGCTGTCGAAAACTACGTAGTCAGTCTTGCAGCTGCAGCAAGAAGAGGCTACCTTGCTCAGCCCTCTGTAAATGTCAATGCAAAACTTTTTAGCTTACAGCACTGTACTATTATGACTGCGTCTGCTACAGTTATAAATGCTTTAGTAGCTTCTGAAATCATATTGTTTCTTTCTTTTCTGTTGAACTTTTGACTAACAATGAGCCTTACATAATTCACTCTTATTCTGCTTTACGCCGTTTTAGGTTGGTCATTTTTATTTAATTTAAAAACTAATCAGATGCTGTAATATATACGACTGAATGCCTATGGCTACGATGGAAATATTGTTTGTTATATTTTTCGAAAGTGCTTCTTGTAGATTTAACATTAAAAACAGTGGTGAAATCTGATTGCTAATGCCATGAGCCATAAAATGATGATTTATTAATGTCTGTATATTATTTGGTTGTTAAGATATGTGTGACAATGGGAGCGAATAACTTTCCAAGGCCTACGAGGTTCAGGTAAACACCATAGACAATCTTTAACACGGCATCTGGTCCACGATATGAGTCAGGCCCATTGAGGAATTCCAAAGGTGATTGATAATGTGGCTGAGTGAACGGTTTTCCAGTGCTTCCAGTTCAACGCACATTCTCTCACATAAAAAAAAAATATTACTGATGGGGAAAAAATGCTGCATGATGAGAACTCAAGTTATGCTGACCCCTTTGGCTAAATCGTCAGTTCTATTTGCATTCGAAGGCCAATGGGAGGCGGAATGCAAATACAATACACACTGACTCAATGTGCAAGAATTTTCATGAATTCACGAGGGATATGA